CGGACAAAGATGGTCGAACAGAAGAACAGTTTACTCCAAACTGGAAGAACAGCTTGGAGTCCCACCGCAAGACAGACAAGCCGTGGACAGGCAAAACAGGGTTCTATCGACTGCAAGGCCATGGAGACCAAGATGAACAAGAAGTCGATCCCAGGCTGAATGATGAAGCTTTGTTCATGCACCATGACCCGGAAGATGCATTGGACAGAGAGATCTTTGGCCGGGAATACGCTTTGCAGGTGGAAGGAGTGGACTATGATGACATTCGTTGGCTGAATGATGAAGCTTTGTTCCGCCACGCGGACCCAGAGGACGCGTTGGACAGAGAAATTTTTGGCCGCGAATATGCCTATCAAGTCGGAAGTGTTGACCATGAGGTTGAAGAGATCACCACCGCTTTCTTTGCTGAACTTCATGATCAGCAGGACAGCCAGGCAGAGGAAGAAGAGACCAGTACCTTCAAGGAGCCAAATACAAGTGATGATGAAGAGGCATCAGAACCACAAGAGAGCATGTGCGCCTTGGTCCATGATCCTGGATTTGGCATCCTTGACACAGGGTGCGGGCGTGGCCTAGTCGGTGAGAAGACATTGGCCAGACACGTGACCTTGTTGAAGGAGCATGGATTGGCCATCAAAGAGCTGCCTGAGAAGATGCATACATTCCGCTATGGCAACGGCTCAGCGGATAGAACTGGCAGACGAGTGGAGCTGCCAGTGTTTGTGGCTGGGAAGGAGCTGAGGGTCAGACTTCATGTCGTTCCTGGAGAAGTGCCGCTGCTGATTTCGAAGAGACTCCTGAAGAGCTTGGGAGCCATGATCGATTTGAATGACAACAAGCTGGTCATGACAAAGGCCGGAGTGTCAGCAGCAATACATGAGATGAGAGACAATTCATATCAGATCAACCTCCTCGACATGACTGACGGCCTGAAGCTGACATCGCCCGAGGTGGATGTGATGCAGGTAGCCCCATTTCAAGAAGATTCGAGCCAGGATGAAGAATGTGAGACCGGTGCCTGGTGCGTGTTCAAAGCCAAGGAACGGAAACAAGTGCTGCAGAACATCAGTTCAGTGCTGGCTCAAACGTCGGAAGATGCCCCAACGGTGATGGAGATCTTTTCGCCAGGACGTTTTCAGGACAAGACCAGCCAATGTGGACTGGTGGGACGTGGTGCCTTGGATTTGAGTTCGGGATGGGACTGGAGAACACCAAGTGATAGAACCTGAGCAGAACAGGCAATAAGCATAGCAGATCCTGATTTTACTGTGCTATCTCCTCCGTGTGGACCCTTGTCGTTGATGCAAAACCTCACACCAGATCAGAGAAGATGTGATTTGCAAGCCTTTCTTCGCGAGGTCAAACAGGCAAAAGGCATGGTGACTTGGTCCCTAGGAGTAGCTGCAGAGAGAATTGCTAGTAATAAGTTTTTCCTGTTCGAATCCTCCAAAACAAGCGGTGCCTGGAGACAACCACAGATGCAGATGTTCGTTCGCCGACATGCACCATTCCTCATTGACGTGCCAGCATGCGCAGTAGGACTAAGAGATCCAAAGACAGGTCTGCTGTTTGGGAAGTCATGGCGTTTCATGACCAATTGCCGGACTCTAGCCGCAGCTCTAGGCAGATTGACCTGTGACCGATCGCATGAACATCAGACGACAGAAGGCACCTCGGGGGGGAATGCAGCGGACGGTTCGCACGCAAGTGTATCCGGATAAACTCGTTCGAGTCATTCTTGGAGCAATGGCGCAACACGATTCGGTTGAACATCACTGCATGGCCATTAGTCAGGCAACCGTACAAGGTGACCTTAAAGGTGAAAGCCGTAGGAGGGTTGAAAGGGCGATAAACAAACTCCATGTCAATCTCGGTCACGCCTCGAAAGCTGACATGATCCGGATCCTGCGGCACCATCATGCGCAGGAATCCGTGCTGGATTTAGTGAGCAGCTTTGAGTGCAGCATATGCCAAGCCAGGGCTGCTCCAAAGGCGGTCAAAGAATCAGCCCCTCCAAGAGACATTGCACCTCTGCGATATGTCGGCCTAGATGTGAAATACCTCCCATCTTGGAAATCCCAGGAGAAAATCAAAGCCCTAAACGTGGTTTGCCGCGTGTCAGGCCTTCAGCAGATGTACCCGTTTAGGGAACAGGAAACCTCAGATGTCATCGGAAGGTTGTATAGACAGTGGACCAGGTCATATGGGAGGCCTAGATATCTTAAGTTCGACGCAAGCAGGTGCAACCTTGGACAGCAGTTCTTAGACATGCTCGAGCGTGACGGAACGACGCCTCTTGACATTCCAGGTGAAGCTCACGAACAGTTAGGTGACGTAGAAAGTCAGGGTTGGCATTTTGAAGAAGCTTTTCGAAGGGTTGTAGATCAAATGTCCCCCCAAGACTACAGTCAGTGGCAAGAGTGTGTTGATGTCACCGTCGAGGCTCGCAATTCGTTGATGCGCAGAGCTGGACATAGTCCATATCAGTTGGTATTCGGTCGAGATCCGGAGTGCCCGGGTGATGACTTGTGCTCCGAGAGACCGAACCCAATCAGCAATAGTGCGATCCTTGAAGATGCCATAGCTGAATACCAGCATCGTGCCCGGAGCGTCGCAAGACAGGAGATGCTCAGACAGATGGACCACAAAGCCGCCAGAATAGCACTCAACAGTCGTCCTAGACCTTTTAGGGAGTTTAGGGTCGGCGATGAGGTAGCCATATGGCGCAGAGGCAAAGGTATCAAAAAGTCAAGTGCCAGGTGGCGTGGTCCAGGTATCGTAGCAGGCAGTGCAGGTGGAAACTTTTGGATTTCCATGCCCGGTTCGTTTGTCAAGTGCTCACCAGAGCAATTGCGATTGCGCACCACTGAAGAGCGCGAAGCAGATCGTTTTTTTGGTTCGCGACTTGAGAGCAGCGGCGGCTTCCTTGTGGCCGGAGGTTGGCAATTCCAATAGACCCCATCAGAAGTGTTACTTCGATATCACTGCAGAAGATGTACCACCTGGAGATTTGACCAATACCAACCCGCAAGAGATGCCAGACTGCCGTCCGAACCAAAGTGCAGAGACCATGCAGGAACCTCCAAATGTTCCGCAAACGCCAGAGAGCATGCATGTGCCCCGGACACCGTCATCACTTGAAAGAACGTCTGATCGATCGAGATCTCGGAGAGGTGCTGACACGGCATCACAAGAGGCATCACCAGGTCAAGAAGTAGAAAGCATCCAAAGCAGTATGACCGAGAGATTGAGTCAGATGTCCGAGCAAGAGCGCATGTCTTGGCAAGAGTCCAGGCGTAGGGCGGATCAGTTGGATGGTCATGTACGAAGGGAACCTCCAGAACAGCCAGAAGCACCTGTAGAGAAAAGGCAACGCATTGGGGAGCACCAGACAGTAGGGGGTCAAACGTTTCCACCTTCTCTTCCGCATCCCCCGGATAGTCAAGCTAGAGCTGAAGTAGTCCCGGTTCCCAGTAGTGCAGGATCATCAGCAGCAAGTGACAAGAGTTCGCATGCACGGCTAGTCTATGACTCAGGACAACATGCCGTTGCGCTGTCCGCACTTGATGAGACAGATGATTTCATCCTGTGTGTTGACGACGAAGAAGATCAGGTTCTGCTAGCAGGTGGTCGTAATGAACTAGATCTCAAAGCCGACAAGTGGCAAAGCCCTACAGGTCAGGAGAAGGTGATTAAAGGTGTAAGAAAGGAGATAGATAATGTAGTCACTGATAAGCAAGCTTTGAAACCATTGTCCATCGAACAGTCCAGAAAGATTCGACAGTCAGAGCCTGATCGCATAGTGCCGAGCAAATTGGTCCTGGTTGAAAAGCTTGATGAAACTGGAGAAGCAGTCGTCAAGGCCAGATGGACCGCGCGAGGAGACAAAGATCCCGATCTGATTGCATTGATCAGGCAGGGTAGCACCCAGTCACCCACCATCTCGTCCAATGGTAGGTACACGGTCCTTCAGACGATTGCCAGTCACAAGTTTGAACTGCAGTTAGGAGATGTGACCGGAGCCTTCTTGGAGGCGGATGAGATGGAAAGGGGGAATGGCAGATTGTACGTGGCTCCACCTCGAAACTTTGCATTGCCAGATCATGACGCAGAACAGCTGTTCGAGGTCATCAAACCGATTTATGGGCTCAATGATTCCCCCCAGCAAATGGTTCATGAAGTTTGACAAAACGGTCAAGAACCTCGGATGGAAACAATCGAAGCTTGATCACTGCATTTACTTTTTGTGGCATGAAAGGCAGTTGCAAGGTGTGCTAGGCGTCCACGTGGACGACGTTGTCCTCGGCGGACGTGGCAGAGGCTTTGAAGAGTCAGTCCAAAACCTGAGGAGCATTTTTCCATTTCGAAAGTGGAAGATTGGCTCTGGGAGTTTTTGTGGCTCGGAGCTGACCCAATGTCCAACAACGCACGCCATCACTGTTAGCCAGGAAAGTTTTGCTGAACGACTTGAGAAACCCAAACTCAGAAACCGTGAATCACCCTTGATAGAGATCAACCAAAACGAGGCCTCTTCGTTGAAGTCGGTGTTGGGCGGGGCTCTGTGGCTAGCTCGTGAAACCAGACCGGATCTTGCAGTCCAAGTAAGTCAAGGGCAACAATTGCTGCCAAGGCCGACGTTAGGTGTTGGAAACGTCGTGAGACGAGCCAAGCAATACAAGAGCATGTCATGGAAAATTTTGCCCATTCCTTTTCCGGAGTTGAGACCGTGTTTGCATACAGATGCTGCATTCGCAAATGCCAAGAAACAAGGCACCCAAGCCGGCTACTTGGTAGGGGTTACAACTGATGAGTTGCATGCGGGAAAGCCCGCACCTTGGAGCCCTTGCGTGTGGAAGTCTTATCGACTCAAGAGAGTCGCGGGGTCGACTTTCGCTGGGGAATCGCAGGTGCTCTCGGATGGGTTAGGCCATGCTGAGTGGATAGCATGCCATCTTGCAGAAGCCAAGAATTTTGATTTTTCGTTGACTAGACGTGAGACCATGCTAGGAGAGTTCAAGTTACAAGCCATTGTAGACTGTAAGAGCATCTACGATCACCTTCAGAACTTCGCATCCCCAGGCAGCGTCAGCGATAAGAGAGTCGCCATAGACCTTGTGATTGTGAGAGAAACTCTTGCGAGGATGGGCGGCGTGATTCGTTGGGCACCGACCTGGTTGCAATTAGCAGATGCCATGACCAAAGAATCCCCAGAAGCAATGGACTTGTTGAGAGCCGCATTGACCACTAATAAGTATCACCTAAATAGTGAAAGCACCATGATGGAAGCTGCAGCCAACCAACGGCAGGTTCGCTTGACGAAGAGGGTAGCCACCGAAGGTGTTGCTCAAAAGGTCAAGAACGAAACCGCAGTTAACTTCACACGAGTTGAAGACCCAGCAATGGTGAAGGTGCCGGTCGACAAGATCACAGATGAAGAGATGAGAACACTCTTCGAGTGTATGGTCAGTGCCTGCGTTGTCGATGGAGAAGAGTACTCCAAGAACATGCAGCAGTCGAAGTCAATGTGCAAGGCAAGGATTGCTGCGCATCAGGTCAATGGGAAGCAGTTCGGGGGAGAGGACAGCTTGCTGACCTTTACATACACGAAGTCAACAAAGATGATTCAGATTCATGGCAAAGCCACGATGCTTGACAAGGCAGAACAGACGTTGAAGCAGGTCTTGGAGATCTATGCCACCGTTCTCCGAAAGGGAGAAGTGAATCCATTGCCAGATGGATGCCATCGGTGGGGAACCGCCATCAAAGAGAGTCTGGAGTGCGGATCAGTCTCAAGCTTCCTTGAAGAGCTGCGAGTTGAGGACACGGTCAAGGCAGAGAGCTCAGTGAAGGAAGAGAGGATTCCGAAGCAGATTCTGGTTCCAGATAGTGAAGAGTTCAAGGCCGCAGTGGCAGACCTGTGCAACGAAGGAGCTCGCCGTCTGCACAACTTTCCGGCATGGCGAAACAAGTTTTTGCAATTCACGCTGCGAGAATTTAATGCCTCGACAGATCAGATTTAGAGCTGTCGGAGTTGATTGAAGTGATGAATGAGGGAGAGTCGATGGATCAATGGTCCGTCGAAGGCCCGTTGACAGAGGCAAAGCCCAAAGCTCGAGCCGATGGATACCGTCCAAGTCGGAGTGCTCAAACGAAGAAAGAATTTTAGACCTGTGCGATCTCTGTCAGGTCCGTTTGAGCCTCCACTTCCATGTGACGTTTCGGATCGAGGCCAGTAGCATGTGAAGCACCGGAGGTGCCAGGGTCATCGAACTTGGCCATGAGCTGGAAAAGGTGAGCGACTTTCGTTGAAGAGGACTTCATTGATTTGTGCATTGAGCAGTCACAGGGTGGATTGCAGTTGTTTTGGGCGACCAGTTTCGACATCTGATTGTTCGAGTGACGCTGGTAGATGTCGCGCACACAGGGTACATGTCTTTAAATTAGTCCTTAAATGTTCTCTTCCATTATGGGTGGGAGGATGGTTTGCCATGAAGATCACAGCTGGTTCAGAATCCCAAACAATGGACGGTTTGCACCTGGAAATCACCTCGGGGCAACGGTTTTCCACCTGACGAAGTCCGGCGATGGCCTCAGCCAGACCATGACATGTCCAACATTTTGTCAACCCGGGTGATGATCGATGTTTAAACCTTTGGACTCGACACATGCACGGTTTGGTGTATAACTTGCCTGGATTGCCTGAAGTTTTTCCGAGATGGACTTGCAGCGGGAACTCTCAAGCTGCCCGAAGAATCCTGAAGACGGATGTGTTCATCACGAAAGGTAGCCCTTTAGGGGATACCTTGAGTTTGTCTTGCGAAGCAAGTGTTGGGACGTCCGGGTCTAATAATTGATCGCTCAATTCAGACCCCCCCCCCCCCGAATTGATTTTTCAAAAACACCCCCCCCCCCCGCCCCCTTGGAATTGATTTTTCAATACAGACCCCCCCCCCCGTCCCCCCCTCTAAAATCAATTCTCTCCTGGAGAAGGTCTTCGTGAGCCTCTCATGATTTCAGGATAGTTGAAACCCTCTTGAACATTCAGAAAGAGTGAATATGAAATTCTAATCACGAAAGGTGTTCCCCGAGGGGATACATACCTAGAGTTTGTTTTGTGAAGCACGTCAATTCTCTCCTGGGGAGCGTCTTCGTGAGCCTCTTATGGTTTCAGGATAGTTCAAATCCTATGATGTTCCGATTCAATGCTCACCGATGATCTGAGCCATGGGGCAAGTTTGTTTTCCTAAGAATTTTTTTGAACATTTCGAGAGCATATGTTTGAACATTTAGGGTGCATATGAACATATCTTTACGAAAGGTCGCCTCCGAGGGGATAAATCACCATGTCGAACATTGCATTTTTGTTCCTGCCTCTCGCGTTCTCTTCTCTTCCCGCTGTCCTACCTTTCATGTCTCCCTCCTCTCAAGTGGTGTTGCATGCGAGGTTCCACGCGAATCCTTTGGACCATCCATTTTGGCCCTGGTTGATACAAGTCACATCGATGCAATCCTGCGTGAGTCGAGGACTCGGTGCTGAGCCGCCCATGGGTCCGCCGCTGCGCAGTTGGATGAGTCATGGGGTGGAAAGTGGGTGGAAGTGGGAAGCCCTAAAGCCTGTGCAAGACTGCGCATGTCCGTAGTCAACAATCCTCCTCCTGTTCCTTTTGGACGCTCACATGGGTCCAGGATTTGGAGACACGGTCAACGCCAGAATTGCTAGAATGTCCACTGGTTCTTTGGATAGGTGGATTGGCTCAGAGCTGCCAAGTGCGAACTAGCACATGTTGGTGGGCAAACAATCCTTGAAAGTTTGTCGAGACAAGCACTCTTTCCAACCTCCTAATTATTTTGCATAAAGGACGTCATGAAACAGAAGTGAACGAGTTGTGGCCATCATTGACATAGCAACCTTCACCAGGGTTCCATGCTTTTGGGGGTGAGTTCTTATAGGATGGTGGCGTGTGGATCACATGTTGAGTCGTTGAACCCCGACTCCAAAAGCAACGGCCACCGATTCTCTTTGAATTGCTATGAAGAGACTAAGGTCTTGGTGTTGGAAGTATAGCGCTGGGTGGGATTGCAACTTCCCGAGTTCCGCTCAAGCTGGATTCAGAGAAACTGTTGTCCTGGGCAACATGTATCGTAAGATATCGTAAGTGTGCAAGATAGCTGCGGAAGAAGTTGTTTTCTGGGTGAGCCCCATTGGATCACGGGCCGGACATGAATGCCACTCTGAGATCGAGGCGATCACCGTGAGCACCGTCGGGGTGCCGTTCGTCTCCTCAGAGCGACCATGAAAACTCCCATTGGGACGATCTCAACGGCGAAGGCTTCAGGGCGCCTTTTGGTGAAGAAGTTCCTTACGACTGGTGACGACAGGTACGAAATAGATAGAGATAGATAGATGGATAGATGGGTGGATGGATGGATCGATCGATCCATGGATGGATCGATAGATAGATAGGTAGGTAGGTAGGTAGGTAGATAGATGATATAGATATAGAGAGAGTTTGCACATCAGACAGCACTGGAGGATGAGTATCATGGATCTTTTCCTCAGTGCCAGTGCCGAAGAAACCTTCCATAATCGGTGAGAAGGGTAAGGCTTCGATGCTATATCGCATTGTGTCGCAGAAAGGGGCGCAGGGGTTGATAGATGATGATAGATGTTGGTGTGCTATCTCGGATATTCAACTAACTCAAACAGTTGCAGATCGACTTGCCGGGGCAATGTGCTAAACCTTCTCTCAAGGGGCATGACAGGAATCACCCGGCACTCGCCGTGAGCCACGAAGTGTTGAGGCCCAAGATCCGACAGCTCGCAGAAGAGTTCCCCACAGTGGCGCTGGCACTCTCCCTGCATGCGCACGCGAGCTCAGATGGCCGGGTGGTCGGCCTGTCCTTCTCTCCCTGTTTTGGTGTGTCTACCTGGTGTTTCAATTACTTGTAATGGCTAAATTTCTACAAACCCGGAAATGTTATGTTCTCTACCGGGGGAATGTGAGAGGCTCCTGCTTTTGCTTGGAAGGTGGAGGGGTGATGGATCACGAAGAGCCATGTTAAGATCATGTTAAAACTGGTTCATGTTCCAAGAACAGACGAGAAAGATGATCAGGGGGCCAAGGCCGGCTGAGGCCCCAGGATTGGGTTTTGAACGTCCATCATGTGCTTTTGCGATGGTGTTTTTTCCAAGGCCTACCCAGGAGCTGCGGCAGCGGTTGCTGCCCAGCAGCGCCAGGTAGCGCAGGGGAGGTTGATGGGATGTGGCAGTGGGTCAAGCCGAGCCTCACCCAACCGTAGAACCACCAGACCAACCAAGGGGTGCCCAATGATGCCAATGGACGCACGCAAGTTGTGGCCGGGTAGAGGCTAATTACTGGATGAGCCTTTTGGATATGTTTGGATGTTTTGGTTTCTCATCGTTTCAATTGGATTTGGTGAACGAGCTTAACAGTGTTTGCCTTCTGACGGGGCTTAAACCAGTGAGACAACTGCTGAATGTGTACATCAAACATCAAAGGATTTACGATGCCCCACAGATCAATGTCAGTCCCATGTTTCTGGGGCCTTCGAGCGATGTAGAACGAACTGCAATCTCTCTCCAGGCCCTGGATAAGGAACTATATAGAGGTTTGGGACTCTTCACAACTGTTTGTTTGTCATTTACTTCTTGTCCCAGATATGGACAATAAGGAGCAGTAGGGCAAGAAAGTGAATATGCCCAAAGCATGCGATGGAGATTTTGCAGAAGCTCGACCCACAAAAATACACTTCTAACCCTTCCTGTCCCTTTGACTCGTTTGGACTCCAAACAGGGAATGCCATGTGTCTCCAAGGTCGTCATAGATCCTCCACCATGTTCCACCACATGTTTTGCACTTGATCCATTTGCATGTCAATCTGATCTCCCTTTCCCCCTGTCGATGAGCAATTTGACAATTAGACCCGAGCTTAGGAGCTTTTCTCCTGCCATTGGCGGGCCACGATGGCCATCTCAATTTCCATAGCAACCCAACAAGACCACCATGGTTCTGTTTTGAATGGAGCGGTTCGGAGTGTTCTCTCGGTGACGGCCTGCGAACATGGATGATGCACCTGGAAGACGGCTGGCAGTCATGTAGACGTGCATGGGTCATGCCGGAAGTCACCTGCTGACGGGCCGACGGGTGGTAGTGATAGTGACTCGTAGTGATTTCAGGTGATTTCTACAGTTTTACTGAAGAGTTGCGACCCCTGATCAACCAACCGCCCAAGAAGCCAAGCCAAGATGTGCTGTGCTGGAGACAGATCCGTCCATCCCAATCCATCCCAAGTGTGTAGAGACATCTCTCGAGGCGCTGGCCCTTGGAGACGGTGATGGAGGCAGTGCCGACCTCGGAAGCTCACCGACTCACCGACCTCGGTGAGACGGCCAAGGCACCTGGACGGCAGCACCAGGTTGGGGTGCTCTCTCTCTCTATATATATATATATCATATATCATACGTTGTACATTACTGTTTACATTTTTAAATTGGAAGAAAAGAAATAAGTAATATCTAAGCTGGTCGGCTCAAAGAGGCCAACCACTTTTGTTCTTCCAAAGCTATTTGGTTTGAACAGCCTAGCTCTCGCAACGAACTGGAAAGCAATTTGAAGAAGAGGCTGAGGTCATTGGTGATGAGCTTCCTATACATGTCAATCATCGAGTGTTGGTCATACAGCAACACCCCTGCAGCTCCGCCCAAAATAGCTCCGTCCGGCCACATTGAATAGCTTCATCATGTTAGTAGACCTCTCCCTGGTGGTGCTGCGGGTGTTTGATCACCTCCTCAAGGTCAAGTACCATGAAGAGCACGTCGGCCGAGTGCCGATGTTTGCCGGGAACCCCGATGGGGTCGGTTCGTGCAGGTTATTGACGTGAGGGGGATCACTACATCACTGATTCATTGAGAACCAATTGGGTGAGTATGCAGCGGGCTTGAAATATCCAACGGATGTTCATTCCAACTTTAAGCAATCCAGGACCAGAACTTGTTCAAGGAATTTCTGTGGTTGATTTGGCTGGTTCTTTTTCTCACTCATTATGGACAGATCGTCGCGCAGTAGTCTGTAATGTAAGTAAAACTCTTGAATTTCGAGCTTGGTCCAGTGAGAGTCCAGTGGACTACATACACCCCCCCTTGCCCCCACTGAGGCTGGAAAATCTGCCAAGACACGGGAGGGGACTTAACTTTTCCGCTGAATTCCGAGGAGCACTGGGTTGTAACAGACTGCTGAACCAGGAATCACAGAACCCCTATATAAATTGTCTTTGCACCAGACAATCCGAAAACATCACCTACAACGTCGCCACCAACATAGTTCCTACATAGTTCTGACTTGAAAACACAGAAAGCCAAATATACATAATCTACTTCATTCGATAGTGGCTCAAGTTGTGTCGCAGCTCCTTCCCCTAACAATAGTACAATACTTTCTTGCAAGTTGTGTTCTCGAAAATGCGATATAATCATTGAGCATCATTCGATTTGTCGGGTGTGTTGCTTCTTCGACATTGACATGTCCTATTTCCCAAGCACTACTATATAAGCACTTTGAGTGGGTGCCACCCACTCCAAACCCCTCTTCTGGAGGCGCACTCGACAAAAGAACAATACCTTCGCGCCCACCAAGACGAGTTCATCCGTTTTTGTCCAGACCGGAAGGCCTACACCTTGCTGCCGGGCGTGAATGACTCCGAGGCCGAGCCGAGGGATCGGAAGCCGACATCTGGTGGCTGTCGGTTGGTGGCCTCACTCCAGCCTGGGTGTCATGGGTTTATTTTATGAAGCTAAAACATGCTAAAACCAATCTTAGCAGTGGTAAACTTTGACAAGTAGCCAAGTCCAAACACAGGATGGTTCCTTCAAAACTCCCTTGACCTGGCACCCAAATTGTGAGAAATAGTTGGAAGATGTTGGAAGTTGACCAGCCCCACATGCAACTCTGGTTGGTCGCCTCCGTTCCAAGGAGGAGACAGATGAACGTCTGAAGTACTTTTGTGCAATGTTCACATGTACCGAGGTCAAGCTTGCTAACCGACAACCGTGCTCTTGCAGGGCCTTCGCGCCCGCCCGTCTGGCAGATTGTGAAGAGCCCGAACCCGTACATGATAGAGTCTCATGGGGTTTGCTGTTTATGTTTTCCCAATATTATTCGATGGGTCCCCGAGTTTTGCTGATAGCATTTGGTGAGTTATTTGGTTGCATCAAGATGTATAGATACAGCATTCATTTTGCATATGGCATATGCAAAATGACAAATACCAGTGTTGGTACTGGACCCTTCAACCTGTAGGGATCATTTGACATGTTATTATTCAACTTGGAGACATATCCATGACCAGCTGAAGCAACCCAGTTTATTCCAGTAAGAGATCCACTTGAACAGTCTTGGGCCCACCACCTGTCATCAACTCCTGCAGCGATTTTGTACTCGACTCCATGGTGCTGCAGGCTGAGGCCAACGACCTGGCCGAGCTTTTGCCGGATGTTCCAAGCGTGTGGTTTTGGGAAGATCAACTAGTAAGAGCAATATATATATATATATTATATCATATTATATCGGAATGGGCGGGCACTGATTAAGTGCCCTGAAGTATGATTAGATGGATCATGACGATGAGAATTGGTTTTCTTAATTCACGAAGCAGTGGTTCTTTGAAGCTACTCCCATGGCAAACGATCGAACTACAATGTGCAAAGAAATATGGGGGTCCTTGTTTCATGGTTGGGAAGTATCAAAGTTTGACCAGCACCTACAACACCCAGCCCCAACAAACAACTTGGCTGTGAGCATGTCCAAACGTGCAAAGCTTCCAATTTGATCATGTACCGAACCCAGAATACCATTGGAGAACAGAACACGCTCTTCCATTGGCAGTGGTTTCTTGTCATTTTGCGCGTGTTCACTCAAGGCGACGGCCGGGTGAACAGCGAGCCTTCATCAACGTGGCGCAGAACTCAGCGGCGTCCAGCGACAACGGAGACATGGAACCACGACGGAGAGACGGGGATGCGGTGTCAAGCAGGCGTGCTGAATCACCTCTACAGAACATGTATTGAAGACATGTAATAAATATAGGCCCACATACTCTTGACATAGGTTATACATGGGATGAGCAGGATACAGGTACAAAGAGCGCGTCATGTCAAGAGTACCTTGAGGCTCCATTCAATTGAAGGGGTCTCATTTTCACAGTGTCAGGGTACCACTCCATCGAGTGGGCTGTGCTCAGACATTTTACACAGGAAGCCCTCAGCTGTAGCGAAGGCACCCTAAAGTCGCGAATGGCACTGACAATGTGAGGATTCCATCCTTCACCTCGAGGAAGGATAATCCGGTCCACCTAATAGAAAACACGAGGCCCCCCCCCCCCTAATAAGGAAACCTCGGTCGCATTTTTTTAAATAGGGGGTCCCTGAAATCGGGGGGTCCAAAATAGGTCACCTGGGAAGAGCTTCAAAACCAAAAAGTAAATCAGTAAAATTTTACATAAAATCCTTTATTAAACTCGTATCAAAAATGCAAAAAAGCTCCAGATCGAAGGGTCTTCCTTTTCCCCTACAAAAACCTTCATTAGAATAGTGTTTCTTCAGTCGACTAACAGCTAAAGCTTTCGAAAGGTGATGTCGCTGTGCCATGCGGTGGTGCATGACCTCGGTGGCAAGTGCGTTTGCGTGAGTCCGTGCCATTGGGGGAAGGAAAGCCTGCTGGTGTAAGCGCGGCGTGTCATGGTGGATAGACAGGGCGGACAGAGGTGGGCAGTTACGGTTGTTTTTGGAACCTAATTAAAAAAACTCCTCCAAAGTCGGCAATGTTGGTAGTTTAGTAGCGGCTTGAAAGGGCGGTAATTTAAAAACAAATATAAACCGTATTTAGGGGTTTCCGACATGACTTTTTTCTAATAGGGGTCCGTTTTTTAATAGGTACTCGGGATTATATTGCTGGGACAGATGAAGAACACGTTGGTCCTGGACACCAGCGGCCTGATGATATGTGCTATCACAAGGCTTTACAGTTACAGGTTTAAAGATTCTACTTTGACACTGTCCAAAAAATGGAATGATTCGCTCCTGTCAACTACAACAGCGTTGTTTTGCTTGTATTCCACTCATTTGACACGCTTTGATTTGACTTGCTTTCTCACACAAAACTCTACACTAGCGGTATGTAACCTCATGAATTGACAGCATGCGTTTTGTTTCTTTATCGGTTTAGGAACCTCACCACATTGGAACTGACTAACGCAATTAACGGAGCAAGATAAATACGTATATATTCACTAAAATTACGGGTTACAAATCAATGAAATTATTCAACAAAACACAACAAACAAGAATAGTGCGTTCAAAATAGTCAATAGTTGATGTTTTTGTCGATGGTTATTTTGTTTGCTTTTGACCTGCTCTTAGGATCTTTTGGCTCACGAAGCCACAAAATCGTTTACATCAATTCCGAAACGAAATGCCAATTAACTTAAAGGCCTTTGTCCCATCCAACAGCCATAAACATGAACAGCTTTTGGACCTTCATGCATTAAACGACTTAATGTTTTTTTGCATATATGTAAACTTAAGGTAGGACAATAGAATAACCCCCATCAACTTAAAGGGTGGTGATGCTAGGAGGCTCCGCCTGGCGGCAAGTCCCGCCAGTGGCGTCAGTCTCAAACGCCCAAGCGCAACGCGGTAATGGAAGAAACTATAAGAAACTGGAGGAAGCACACATTGTCAAGCCAAGGGTAGTTTTAGTATTTTGTGAACAGATATGAATATATTATTCAGAGTATATATATATATACAGTATATATTTGGAGTATTTTGTGGGAACGGAAGCCGCATGATGTGAGGGCAATGCAGCACCACAATGGCATGTACCATCCAGCACCGCACATACACTTTTGAACCTTAAGAATCCTTAAGAATTTGTCCCAGAATTGGGCAGACATCCGGCAGAGAAACCCGGTGTATCACCCCGATGAGGGCCCAGTTTGTGATTCCCAAAGCATTCAGAGATAGAGCTCAGCCGCTTTGACAATGGTGACATGGATGCTGATCGCCTCGATTTGGCTGCCAGGGTGCCTTGGATAAGGGATCATTTGGGGAGTCCCACCTTTTGTTTTGCTAACCTTTTCTGGGGGGACAGCATTTTGTTCGATGCGTTTTGTTGACACATTTTGACAACAGTAACCTTTTGCTTTGACTCTGTCTTCTGGGAATTTGACAGGGTAGGGCAGGAAGCAGAATGGAAGTCAAACAGCCTTTGTGGGGCATGAAGGACATCACCGATTACCGTAACTGACGGCCAATTGTGGATCACAACGGGGCCGCCCCAAAACAAACAGATGGGGAAACTGGTTTCGACACATCCGCTTTAAGTAATATGGCCAGCAAAGGTTTTTGTTTTTGTTCGGAGCAGCTGTGACAATCATTCTTGATGTGTCACAACAAAGACGAAGCCGCAATGTGGCAAACATGTTCGTCTCCAAGCAAATATTTTGCATGGGCTTCCTAGATGCGCCCTGCCCTTGCAGATTCACAGATGCCTCATTCTACCTTAAGATGTCAGCCAATTGTTCGTCAGCAAATAGCTGACCATTCGGGCCTGGTCCTTGAAAAAGAACAACATGCAGCCCAACTGGAGCTGCACGTTGGAGCTCGCTTGCTGCGCGGTTCGCTCCGAACGGAAACCGAGGCTCGGGCGCGGCGAGACTGTGGACGACTGCAGCGGCTGTGGCAGCTTCCCGCGTGTTTGCGACGAGGTGGCCAGGTCCAGATGGAGCGAGACGCTGGTACCACCTGCTTTGCACAGGTAGTTGGGTGCAATTAATGTTGGAGCCTGAATAGTAAATAGGCCCCTCCCCCCCCCCCCCCCCCCCCCCCCCCCCCCCCCCCCCCTCCCCCCTCCCTGCTGAAAAGTAGAGCCTACCTGTACAGGGTTCCTCTCCAACAGCCGATATAGTGTGTCCATACTTGACTGCTTCAAGGCTCAAAGAGCAAGAGGATAAGACTCTGCGCATAAAAGACACTAGCGGTCTGCACCTCTACCGTGTACGCCCTAGTCACTCTTTCAGTGGTAGCGGAGCAGTGATCCTGGAAGACCCAGGTGAGCTCCTTTCCTAGGCATAGAATTGCTTGTGGGCAAACGGCCATGGATTGGATTGACGACTGGGAAGAGCCTGATGCGGATGTGGCTTATGAGCCAGCAGCCTACGTGAATAAGGCAAGAAAGGAAAAGGAAAAGATAAAGGAGATGGCAAACAAGATGCAAACTATGCAAATCAACAACAGCCACGTTCTTTGCCTGCACCTTCAAGATCTTCACAAGCATCAGGAGGTCAACAAGGTTTCTTTGCACATTGTGTGACAGCAGCAGCTGAAGTCCATGACAGTGAGGTGAACTTGCTGTCAGGCATGATGACCTCATGTCAAGATGAAGCTGACTGCGCGGTCAACAATGGTGAGACGATCTTCAATGGCATGAGTGCCCCTGTGAGGTACTCTTTGTCAAAGGAGATGCTCACAAAGGCTCCTGATGGCTTTGCGCTTATGAGCGCTGAGGAAGAAGTGAAGGAGATGCAGGCCATTTCATTTTTGACTGAGAATCGCTTCCCGCCGACTATTGCAATCCTGGACATTGGATGCACTAGAGCTATGGGATCAAGGCGAGCAGTCGACCATTTTTGCAACTATGTCGAAAATCACCCAGATTGTGGATTATGGTACTCTTTTGAGGCTACCAATAGCAAGTTTTACTTTGCCAATTCCCAGAAGGCTACTTGCTCTCAGAAACTGGTGATTTACATGTATGATCGTGCATGGACGATCCACCATACAGAGTTTGACATAGTGGAAGAAGGAGAAGTCCCTTTGCTTATGAGCTTGCCACAGATGAGGAACTTAGGCTTTGAACTCAGGCTGACACCTCAACATGCTTATCTGACATCGGTGCCTCTTGGTATCAAATATTTGGAGTTGAAGGTTGCAGCCAGTACTCATCTTGTCTTGGACTTCCAAGATATTGCATGGTATCTGTCTGACGTGAATTTGCAGACTCGGCGCGAGAAGATTTTTTACTCTCACTTCACTCACTATGAATATGGTCATATTTCTGTTGATCACAATAGTGATGAAGATGTAGCTGAACATGCATATCCTGTGGTTGACTACTGGGAAGTAGATGTTCACAAGAGAGAACTGATACGTCACCACAAGGATTATAGAAAGATTCTTTTTCCAGCAACTAAGTCCTGTCCTGTAGACACTGACTTACTGGAAGACTTGCGACTGACAATCATCAAGAAGAAGAAAGGAGAAGAAATCAAGAAGCTAGATGATTGGCGCAAGGCAAAATGGAAGGACCTACAAATTGGCTATGAATGGCGTGGGAGAACAATTTTAAGTTCAAACCAGATGCCAAAATTCCAGATCTAAAGATCAGGAAGGCTGGCATTGAGCACCGTGGCATTGGTGATCCCGATGCAGTGGTGCGCTCCTCCTCAGAGAAGGTTCCCATTGCAAAGGACAGGGAACCAGGCTTCTCGTCAGAGAAGGAAGGTGCACCATCAAGTGCCGCGGAAAAGCCCGTGCCGCCAAAGTTTCGGTATACTTCCAAGGGTTTTGATCCATTTTGGAAGGGACACAAGTCGAAACCATCTGAGCCTCAGAATGATTTAAAGGGTGATGATCTTGAGGAGTATGCTCCCTCAGAACCACCTGAGAGGCCAGAAGGTGAACTTGTAGAAATTCCTAAAGCATCAAAAGGACCATCAAGTGATAAACATGAACCACTTGAACCAGGTGATGGCGCTCTTGAGCCTAGGCGGATTTCAATCCCATTACCTGGTAGTGAAGTTGTTGCAATGACACCGGCATATAGGAAGATGTTACAGAGACTGGAGGACAAGGTAGAGCTTTATAAGCTTCATGTGAAGCACTACCATATGAGTCCT